TCATGTGGGCTTAATGTGAGACCATCAGGGTTCATGTGTGGCAGTCCTCAATTTTTAACTAGTGACCAGATATAGAAGGTAGCCAAACAGCATCACTGGGATTTTGTCTGGCCCTACAAACTGAGCTACAGGCTCTACTATTATTTTCTGTAATTTGTCACAGCTAAAAGTGTGGACAGAATGTATTCAGTGGCATGTCTCAAACCCTGGACCCTTAGATCTGCAGCCACACATGATAATCACTAGATTGCACCTGGGCCCTGTCAAACAGGTCAGATGGCTAACTTTGTACTTGACTCATCATTACTGTCTATATATTTATTTAACACTTGTTATAATGATGAGAAATGTCAGTTATCACTGTTTAGGTAAGTTAATACATATGTAGAACTACCCTTATCACAAGTTTCTCCATACTTAAGTTTACATAAAATATATTTTTAATTGTTGCTATGGTTACATTATTTTTTTCTCATGTTGTTATGCATTTGAGTTTTAGAACAATTTTATGAGGAGAATGGGAACTTCTGATTCACCCACTACTACCTGTGAGAAACTGTGTTCAATTCTATGTTACTATTCTCTCTCAATGCTAGCTGTTCCATAAGTTTTGCTATCAAAGTTCCACAATTCTCATGAAGAAAAAGTGATGCATTAATCTCATCATGAAGAAAAGTAATATACATTAGTCTTAATGATGAAGACAGAGTGACTGATGCATTAATCTGTTAATGAGGAAGACAGCTCAATATGCATTAGCCTATAACAGCAACAGCTTCTGAAGTAAACAAGCAAGAACACAGAGCCCGGCTATGAAACAGAATCTTTGAAGCTCACAAATAACCAACTGACAACAAATTTCAGATAATTTTAAAAGACTTTCACTTGCCACATGACACAAGTGGGTGGGTACTTTACTTTCATTTGTCCATATTTTAGTTTTTGTTATATATGACCAGTTAGTGATGCTTTCCATGATACTTTATTTGCCAAAAAAAATTGTTGTTTCTGAGGTTCTATTCCATAGGTGTCATTTTGGGGTGTTTTATATGCTTAGATATGTTTTTATTTGTTTTGTACCTGTTGCTTATGTTTTACTTGCCCAAATATGTCAACACAAAGTTTCACTTGCCCAAGACAATTGGGCATTTGTTAATGTTGAGTTGCAACTAACATGATTTTTTTTTACATCCAAAAGTTCCACAATGCAAATAAAATTTAGAGCAATTTAGTGTGCAGAATGCAATAAATCTTTAATAAATTTCAAGAAAAAATCTTTAATGTCAAAGCTTTGATGAAAAGAAATAAAAACAAACATACTTCAAATACCTTCTAGGTCAATTACTGCCTAAAAATATCAAAGACACAAGTTATTAAAAGTTCCCTTTAAGTTAACCATATAGTTAGGTTTGAATATAGTTCAATAAGGAATAAGCAATTTCCTCAGAACTGACTCTTCACCCTGTTGATTAAAGTAATTCTGAGATGACCAAGGTTGTGATATGTTCTGAAGTTTCGATCATCAATAATACACTTATATAGATTTCAAACAAGGCATTAACTTTTGGATTATTTAGTAACAATTTAGAGGTACATTGTTTTCCACACATTGGGCAATATACTTGTGGAATTTTTTTTCTTTTCACAACTTTATTCTCAAGAGACACACTTAAAAAAATAGTTTGATAGTTTTGGAATTATCCATAATTTATTTTGCAGTTTTAATTTTTTCCTACTGATCTAAAATAATTCAGAACTGGTCAAAGAATAAAATGTTTATCTTGTCAAGTTACATTAGGTTTGGCAGTCTGACTGACTCAGTTCATTTCAAAATGTTGTGATGACAAAAATAAATATGCAAACTAAAATAAAGAGTGGTCCAAAGTTATTTTGCTATTTTAAAATTTAATAACTAAAGAAATACAACCATGCAATTTTCAACATGTTGTAACCCAACTCAAACAGTTTTTATTTTGTAACATTTTCTTTCACCCCACTGAGTACTGTTACCCCTAGAATGGCAGCCATGCATGGATCTGTCATGGTGGGCAATTCCATGGCCTCTGCGTTTGCCAGACATCACACGACTAGACTTATTTCTTTGGGAGTATGTTAAGGACATCATGTATTGCACACCTCAAGCAAACATCATGGAGCTACAGACCAGGTTAATGGATGTCGTCACCACTCTACACACAGGAAGCAGCAAACATGGTCTAACAATGAATATTGGTTAGACATGATAAGATCCACTAATGGTGTACAACAAAATGTCAATAAAAACTGTTTGAGTTCGACTAAAAAATATAGAGAACTGCATAGTTGTATTTCTTAAAATATTTAATTATTAAGGTTTAATATAGGAAAGATAATTTAGACCACCCTGTATATTCCACACAACATACTGCATGTGCATGTGTGTATATACACACACACACACACACTTAAAGATCTAACTACAACTAGAGTATATATTCCCTTTTTATTATTTTGATCTTCAACATTTTTAAACTTTATAAGAATTATATCCAAGAATAAGATTTTATCATACAATACAGTGAGTGTTTATACCTTTATGTTTAAATCTGTAATCCAAATTGGGCAATGGTATGTCCATGCTTTTTCAAGCAATAATTAAAATGTACAAATGATACATCACTTTAACAACCAAAACAAAAAAAATCAGGGTTTAATATTTTGTATTCACTTTGATTCGGGGACATGAGGCTGTTTCAGTAAGAAGTTACTGCATAAAGCCTGTTAATGTGTAGATAATGTCATAAAACTACAGTTTAAACTTAAAAGTAAGAATAATGTTTAAAATGTACAATTACAACTTTTTTTGACCGATGACCAACATTAAAAGACTACGTGTTTTGGTAGTTTTACACTGCCATCATGAGGAGTAAAAGCAAACAAGGCAAGCAGGTAGTGTCAAGGTACCAAAACATGTAGTCTTTTAATGTTGGTCATCGGCCAAAAAAGTTTTCATTATGTATTTTAAATGATGTTCCTGCTTTCAATCTTAAACCTTTTGCACAACTTACCTTGATTGAATTTTCATAAAAACTACAGTGTCAATCCACAAATGATATCACCTTAATCAATCACTGTGCTAACCCATGTTTAAGTTAACACATACACTATAAACCCTGATAAACATTTGGATAAACTAGGGGTTTATATTAACTTGTGGGAAATGTTCCCAGTGATTACTGCAAGTCTGAATGTTACTAGTTGGAAAGTTTAAAAGCGAGGACTGATTAAGCACATACACGCAAATTAGCATTTTGATATTTTTCACTCCTGAAAATGTATGCTTGCATACAAGGTATTTGAATTGTTCCACACTAATGATAACATTATGTTAAAAACATTGTGCAGATACAGAAAATCTATAAAATGTTTTCCCATGAAACATATGAAAATAGACAATATGAAGCTGTTAAAAAAAAGTATTTCATATCTGTAAACCATATGAAACATCAGATAATACTTCTGCTACATCATTACTACTTGATGTTTTTTTTTTATCATGAGGTGTGATAGTTATTTCAATCATGATAAAATATATACAGGAGATAAATAAATTTCTAACACTCATTACTGATTAACTCTATTATTTAAGAATTATACCAATCAGCAAACATCAAAATGACATTGACGTAAATGTCTCTGTAAGTTGGGTTTCCGAGTAAACACACGGCTACACTGAGGGCACTCGTGGTGTCGATGAGTCCTGTGTTGATAGTACCGATGTGAGGTCATTGACAACTTGGAACAGAATACTTTCTGACACACTTCACACATGTATTCTTCAGAAGTTACGGTTGATTCATTTGTTCTTTCTGCTAAGACCCAAAATTTCTCTGAAAGCAACAAACAAAAACTTCACAAAGCTGGGAGTAATCTAATTACAGTGCTGTAAAACAGCATCAATAAAAACAAATGCCTATTATCTTCCATGAACAGCTTTTCTCTCAAACCAGTAGAAACATAATATATCATATTTTAATCATAATAATATAAACATATATATATATATATATATATATATGCTTGAACAACAACATTTCACAATTCGTTGCACATGTCTAAAGAAGTTTCACACCAATATGCTCAATGATTTCCGGAAATTTATGTTCCTATCATAATCTAACAATAGTCCTAAGAATTTCAGTTTCTTCTATCATGGCTCTAAAAGTTATGTTTAATGATCAGTACATACTACGCTTTGTTGAATATTTGAAGAGGAAGTTTCAATAGATGTTCGTAAAATATCTGAAGAAAAGTATCTTTTCTCGTAAAGAAATTTTTCACAGAAAAGTTTCGTTGTCTATGCTGGTTAAAATACCATTTCAGTAATCTTGTGATTCCTTTTCTCTAACATGACACCTTGAATTATTTCATAACTTGATTTTGCAGAGTTGTTTGGGTGTAATAAGAATGGGCCGAGTACAAACTTTGGTAAAAATGTTACGTACCATTGCTGTCTGGTGATGCAAGCTGGTTAGCTCAAATCTAAATCACATCACAAAGGTTCTTAACATTGAATTCTCGAAGAGAACTGAAAGTGTACAAAACTGTTTAGTTCTGACATTTAACCATTCTTCGTATACTTATGCCTAAAATCCAGGTTTTCTATCTCTGCCATGTTATTTTCATCTACAACTACTTTGTTAATTTTCTGATTTAATTACACATAAAAACCTATCTTGTCTTTAATGAAGAAAATAAATGCCAATAACATAAACATTAATTTGTTCTAGATGATAAACAATCCAGCTACAAACTTGTCCTTAGGCATGTTTATTCAAATTATGTATTCAGGCTTTGAATGGCATTCTAAAAAAGTTTAAGTTTAAGAACAAGCATAAAAAACAAAATTGAAAATACTGTGTGTGTGCTCCAATGAACAAAAAGGGCATTTACAGAATTTTTCTGATGAAGGAAGCTGCTACTGTTTTAACACAAGTTTTGGCTATAAGAAACAACACAAATAGTATTAAAACATTTTTATTGACAAAAAAAATCAACAATTGCAAATTTATCATGTATGTACAATTTTCAATGATAAGTGCATCATGTATGTTGACACCAGACTAAATAAAAGCAAGTACAGAGCATTCCTTGTAATAAAATCTAGTAGCCATTAGAAAAATATTTTAATAGAGTTGACATGTTGTGCCTAAGGATGTAGGAATCTTCTTTTAAAAACAAATCTCTTAAATCATAATGGTTCATATGGATTGTTTAGTTATTCTTCAAAGTGAGTCACCCTGCACAACAAAACTAGTAATTATTTTCATGGTAATGTTTCATCTTAGTTGCCAGATTATTCTTCAAAGTGAGTCACCCTGCACAACGAAACTAGTAGTTGTTTACATGGTAATGTTTCATCTTAGTTGCCAGATTATTCTTCAAAGTGAGTCACCCTGCACAACAAAACTAGTAGTTGTTTACATGGTAATGTTTCATATGAGTCGTCAGATTATTCTTCCAGGTGAAAGTCTTTTGACATATTTTGCAGGTAAAAGATTTCCTGCCAGAAAAGTGCATCTTTAAGTGTCGATTTCTATTGCTTCTATCAAAAAAAGACTTCCCGCACACAGGACAAACTGGCCTTCCTCTTATATCCTGAAGTCCCAATAAAGATGCTTCATCAAACATTCTTTCTGGCAAGGTCATGGATTGGAATTCTTCAACTTCCAGAAATTCTAAACAAAAACATTTAAAACTAAGTCTAAATACATGATATAGTGATAAATGTACCAGTGAATTAGACATATTTACAGTAAAAGTATAAAACACAAAAAATGTTGAATGCTACAACATGAAACACATGATTATATGTATATATAGATTCCAATCCTATCACTAAAGTGGATTCTATGTTGCCAATTCCTCTAAGAATAAAATAGCTACACATTTTCAGTACCTATTTATAAAACATACTCATTACCATTATGTCCTTTACAGGCAGATTGTTTTATGCAGTGTGAAAAATGCTACAATTTTAGACAGCAAAGTTTTCATAAATATTTAACTGAGTTTACAAAACATTGGATACATATTTATTAGAGCCCTTATTTCTGCACTTTTCAAAACACTTATCTCCTCAACCAAGTAATTACTTTTTTCTACACACAAAGCTTTCTTTTTCCCAGCTTTGTTCTTAATAAAATAATGATGGTTAATACCAGGTTCTTATATATTTTCAAAATTAAAAAATAAGCAGTAACTCTGAAATTATTTTTATTTTTCTAGAGTTTACAGAAATATGAAAAAACACAAAATATGACAACAAAGACAACTAGTTTCACATGTTGTTAATTATATGATAAAACTTTTTTTTACACAGATGCACATGTCTACAATAACTTTCATGTTGAAGAACAAGAGCAGCTTCCAAATTCAACACAAGATTAAATGTCATATTTTACATGTAGCGGAGCTTCAAAGTGATGTTTTTTTGTTCTGAATTGGAATTTTTCAACCCCTGAATGGGATCTTATCTGCATGAATAAAACAGCTTGATCAGACACTCCCTACATAGTCTTCCCTTATTTTTAACTACTGACCAGAATAAGGATAACCAGGCAACCATCACACAGAATTTCAACTGAATAACAAAACTGTCACTTTTATAGCACATCGAAAGCTGAAAGTGTGAAGCATGTTCAGCAGTAACACACCTTACACCTGGAGCCTTTTATTAACAGCTCAACACTAACCCACATTTTCTACATTAGAAAACTCCTGTTTGCTAAACATTTTACAAACAATACATATTAAGACCTTTTAACTTCATTGTAGTCGTATTCTTGATGGTAATTTTTTTCATCAAAGGTAAACTTGTGGTTTGAAACACATGTACCAACCCCACTACAGTCATTTTATACAAGTTTAAGCACAGTGAAGCTTCACTTTATATGTTATGATAGTACAGATAGATGGATGAAAATTTTTCATTCTGACCTATGATATGGGTAAAACAATTCTACCTCAAAAGCAGCCTTGTCTGCACTTGTATTAAAAATTATTTTGGCATCCTTATTGCACTCGTGTTATAGTTACAATAGGCCCACTTCCAGAAAGACAGTTTTGAGATGTCAAACATCATAACTCTTGTATGTTCTACAGGATTTGTAACTTTGACAGTACAAATATATATTTTAATTAGATAAAGTTTAGATGAAAACTTACCTTCTGATAGACATTCAACTAATCTTTCACTTTTCTGTTGTTCCTCTAACCCTTCCCACTCCCTTTCTTTTCTACATATATGTGATGTTCTAGGGTATCTTATGAATCATCATTCATAAAGAATCTAGAGGGTTTGGAGGTTCTTTCTAACAACTTGTGACATCCACTCGAAAGAGCATCTACACACTGCTTCATACACTATTCTCATGAAGAAAACTGAGCAAAGATGAAAACACTTTTCAAACACATTGCTGGACAGTACAGAGGCATAGAATAATAGACCAGACATAACCTTGACAGACTCAAATGGGTTGAAGTTACCCTCAGAAATCACAATTACTTTGTTCTGACCACACTAAAAATAAGTTCAACTTTCATAAGTAACAAGGTGTCATTTTTAGGTTATCCAATTCTTTTAACACCACCCTACTCCATATTTCCTAAGTTTTTTTTAAATTATACCAAACCCTGAGCTACAAAATAGCCATCCAATATTCTCTTAAACTCTTTAGGGTTGTTGCAGCTGAAACAACCCTGAAAGTGAACTATTCCATAGGCTAAACATCTTAAACTGTAGATGTATCTAAGCTTTCCATATCTTGCACTTGTTCCCCAATATTAATGCCTGCAAAGTTTTTGTTCAATGAAAATATCATCTGGATTGATGGATTCCAAATCTGAGCACAATGTTCCAAATAAGGTCTAACGAGCACCTTAAAGAGTGCACAGATAACTTCCAAATGTGTTGACTCAATATGTATATGTCCCAAGATCATGTTTGCCATATTATAATGTATATACAGAAAGAAAGTTAAAAAAATTTTATCCTGAATTCAAAGCACCTAGGAAGAGACTGACAATCACAAGAGATTGAAGAGGAAGATATGAAACACGTACAAATTAAACCTTACAACAAATAGTAGCAGTTGCTAAATACATAAATATCAAGATTACCAGTTAAGAACATGCTCATCAGGATGGTGTGACAGATTAAAGACCCCCCATTGAAGAACTCTGTCAACTAGCATCCCCCCCCTTCTGAAATATCATCTTTTAAGGTTTTCACATTCTCTACAAAGTGATTTCAACTTTCATGAAAGTATTTTTTCTGCCCCTAAAACTAACTCTTTGACCTCTTGAGCATCCCAAATAAAAAAAATCCTAGAAATGAAAATGTTAAAAGAGTAATTTATGTTTCATAGCATCATTCAGAAGTAAAACCCCCTTGCCTCTCAAACAAGGAATTTGTGCCACAGTATTACTGTTATCAGGAAATGGATTTCCCTGGAATTAGGCCACAAGTGAGAAGTAAACTGTGAAAAGAACCACTGGAGAACATAAACGGACCAAGAAATTAGAAAAGATGGCTCCTTATAAAGCAAATGAGAGAATAATAAAAGGAGAAAAAATAGGATTCAAATCTAAAAAGGGTCAATTAGCAAAAAATAGAGAGATATTTCTGAAATAGTGAATCGGTTGAAGAAAATAGTTAACAATGAGGAGAATATTTGTTTAGTAGTGAAGACAAAGGGTTTCCCAATGAAAGGTTTATCCTGATGAAAGTTTCTCTTCTCTGCCCATCTAAGCATTGATATGAATCTTACCTTGCTTGCTCCAGCCTTTATATCTCACTATATTTACCCAAAGCAGGTTGCAGGTCTGTCTGCAGGATTTTGTTGGAGGGGGTGTGTGTGCAAAACTGGAGATTTTGCCAGAGTGTATCCTGGTTGCCGAGCATAGCGAGGCTACCACCCTAGGGGGGTCCAGGGGCATCCTCCCCCAGAAAATTTGAAAAATCTAAAGATCAAACTATGTAAAAAATGTAAAATTTTATTTTTCTGTGACCTTGACCTCACCTCATATTACATAATTGTTAATATTTCATTAACGAGAATATCTACACAAAGTGCTAAAAATGTAAACTTTCATATATTTTATTTTCTGTGACCTTGACAATTTCATTTCATGAAAGTAGACTGTCCAGCTCAATCGTGCATGGATAGTCTATTAGGCTAGATTTAGTCAGGCTGCCTACATTAGATTCTAGTTGATATACTCTAGGCCTAGATCTAGATAATCTAGCCTAGTATTAGAGATCTAGAAACTATATTCTCGGTCTCTATCCCTTGAGGGTACCTCACTGGAACTAAGCCTAGATCTATAAGTCTAGGCCCTAGAGATCTAGTGTGTACCTGTGACGAAGTTTGCTGAAACAATCTTTTATGGTTTGACACTTAGGAGGTAGTTATTTGTAAGGTGAATTAGTAGACATGATGTTATGTAACAATAGATCTATGCCTAGCTACATTTATTATTTAGAATCTATGTCATCTTACACAGCCACGACACTGTCATGACTGTCAACAGCACTTTTTTTTGCCATGTATGCTAACCTAATGTGTCTAGGCATAAACACTTTCAGTAGAAGATTTTAATAAGCATATTTTTGCCTTGACATTGCTATCACTGTGTGACAGTCAACCAATCATGCACGGTAATCTAACTTGTCATACGTATTACGAAGTTTACTTCTTGAGTCAGAGATCACTGTATTTAATGGATGTTAACAATGCATGTACACATATTAATTTACATTATTAAGGAGGGATGTGTGCAATCTCTTTGGGGTGCGTTAAAACCTGTCCCCCCCCTCCACATTATATGCCCAGTGAAGGTGAGAGATTTATGGGAACATTTTTTAGTGATGTACATTCCACAGCACAATGAAGCAAAAAGTGAAAGGGTATTCGCAGTTGAAATAGTTGTTTATTTTCAATATTTATTAAATGTGTTAGCATTATTTAATAAAACTTTCCACTAAGAAAAGTTGTAAACAATTGCTGTCAAAGAGATCAAAGGTGACTAGTCATCAGTGCAAGTGACTATTCTGTGTATTGAAGCCTGTTTTTAGTTCTCAAATTCTGGGTCTCAATCATTAGATTTAACTGT